TCAACCATTGGTCGAACTCTACTATCAACCTTGGAGTTATGTGGCGMAAACAGGTTTGATTTATTTTTCACTTCGTTAAAATATATACCTATATGATGTTATAAGAAGACAATACATATACTAAATTCGGTTATCCGTCTCGCGTGTATTTACCGAGCTTTACTTATATGCACTTATCATACCTACATGATTAAAATAATWTKTTGTAGGMATGCAAATTATGAAATCGATCTTTAAATGAAAAATTGAACTACTRTTCATGAAATAAAAATGTATTTTTTAAGAAAATATTACAATCAATTTTCACTTTAAATTTTCATGAAATGGTCACTACAATTTGACATCRTGGAATTTTTTTCAAAAATCAAATGACCGCTTTGTGAAATAAAATGTTTACCACGCACAAATATTATTATTGGTTAGGTAGATAKGTATTTAAAGTACCTATACTTAMATGAATGTTATTTATTTATGACATATGTTTAATATRTAGGTWGTACTGTACAATATAGTAAATATTAACGTAGTAGTGTATTATACAAGATTTTATAGATTGATATTCAAAATTTCAAATATGAAGTTTTTATTTAAAGATCWGTTAAATTACATATTGTGTTTTTAAGATTTAACTATCTATAAATTTAGACATTGTYATACCTAATATTAAAGCTTTTTTATTTAATTAAAAGAATAATTACAATCTATRCATAATTACATACAGTAAGTAATTTTTTTGAAAGGAAAATAATGGTGATTATAACAKAGTGGGACAGTGGGAGGATATACTCGGTAGTACCACCTGACTAATAAATCTACAAAAAAAAATGTTAATCAGTATATCTTATTTAAAAAGGGAGAAAAATTTGGCATAATATGTAGATGTAGGCATATCAACATTAATAATGTGTAAAAATGTTTTTATATTTCACAATGAATGAAAAAATATTATTTTATGAAATGGACAAATTTTTACGAAAAGATGGTTTTCACAAAATGTATTGTATTCGACATAATAATATTATATTATATATTTTTATGCCACAAATATGATATAAAATTATTAGTTTTTAGTTTTTAGTTAATTACTTATTGCTTGTATCAATAATTAATTTMATTTCAGGTTTCGACGATGCATTGCATTCACTGGAAAAATTGAATCAATATAATTTCGACCTTCCTGCAGATTTAGCTATTCGACAATTACAAAATATAAAAGATGCTTTTTAATATCATTATATTCTAAAAACAATTAATATTTTTGTAATCAGAAAATTAATTTTTGTCTTTGTTATTTATTWATTTATTTTCGTAGAATAAAGTTGAAAATAATAATGTATTTTTTTTAATACTCCTATATGTAGGTACCTACTATATGGTGAAAAATATTACTTATTATCTATTAGGTACCTACTAGGTACTTCTTTGTGGAGAAAATTGTGTTTTTTTATATATAAATAAACCACTACCTATCTTACTGTTGTATCAACCATCACATCATATATTAAAATATAAAACTAATACTTTAGACTTCCAATTTCCTAATACACTTAATATATACCTAGACTCTAAGCCCTTTTTGGCATTTACAGTTCAGGGGCTTGTACCTGGATGACAGCAATTATCCTTTATTATCTATTCTTCATGCCTCTTCACTTTTTAATTCTGTAGTATAATGTCTTGCAACTTATATTCATAAATATTACTAACTTGGCTCATGGTTTGAGCAGTATGTAACTTCCATATTAATCTTTTTAGACGCTTAGTACATTGTTGTGTCAAAGTGTGTGTTTAACTGGTTCACTATACCTACCTACTTAGTCTACATATTTGTTAAAATTAAGTTCTTAGAATAAGTATTTAAATATTAATGAAGATAATATCGAGATATAGACACAAAAGAACGTAAATATCATTTTTTTTTTTTAAATAAAGATTTACCTAACGGAAATTAATTAAACAAAATGTTTTACATCAAAATTTGATATAAACAGTTAATTAATTTGTTCAGATACAAACGTAAATTTTTAATTAAACTCAAACCAAAATAATTAGCAGGCGTGGATAGTATGTGGTGAGAAAAATATCTYAAGCAACTTMATCAACTATTTACATGAGAAAKCGTTTACGCTCTGAAAATTGTATAGGTATATTAACACACAATGTATTCATTAAATCWTTTATATAARCAATTCAACTTCATCTATAGCAATAACGAACAAGAAATTATAGCATAGGTAGGCACCTAATGGAAAAACGATTTACTTTTCGACCAAATTTAAAATAGGTCGATTCCYTTTTGGACCAAAATTGTAACCTTCTTTTTACGGCCAATTTACTTTTCGATCAAAACAAAAATGTTTATAATACATTTAAAATAATAAAATAATGGTATACTATTTTTGT